CCCAGAAAATAAGAAACTATTCTTGAAATTACCAATTACAAAAAATTGAGCCCAAATTTAAAAGAAGAAATCTTGCTTCTGGGTAATAATTAGATCATGCTGATATTTTCTTTGGAAACTAGAAGACTTAGCATCTTTCCTACCTTTCATGAAAGGTAAATGTTACAGGGGAAAAACAAAAGGAATCAACATAAAGGATTACAGAAGAGAACAATCATATAGTTTTTTAGAAAAGTCAGGCATATTGGAAGTAGAGAGTCTGGACTTTGGGGTCTGGCAAATTTGGGTATGTTTTGTGACCAAGCTGCCTTCTAGCTGTGCAGCTCTAAGTGAGTCACTTAAGCAATCTGAGCTGCAGCAACAAATAAAACAGGTCCTTGCCCTCAAGGAGTTTACAGTCTAGAGGGGTGCCAAATGATAAATAAGCAAGCAGTGAATGCATCATCTGCTGAGGGTTCGAAGAGCGATGGAAGTTATGCAGCAGGTTTAAGAGTGGATGAGGTGCTGGTCAAGTGAGGTTGTCAGGAAAAACCTCTCTGATAAGGTGAACTTCAACATAGAGGGTAGGAATGAAGTCTCTGGATACCTGGAATAGCATTACTATCAGATGAAGCTATAGTGAAAGTATCCTGAGGCAAGAGTATTTTGATGTGTTCAATGATCAGCAAGAAGACCTTGAGCAAGAGTGGCAAGGGTGACAACAAGGAATACAAGCCATGGAAAGAATTGCAAGTTCTTGTAATGATTTTGGCTTTATTTGCAAGTGGAATGAGGAGTCATCAGAAGGTTTTGAATAGTAGTGCAGCATGGTCTAATTTAAGTTTGGAAGGTCTATGCTGAGGATACTTTAGATGAAGTACAGATTGACGTTGAAGGATCAGTAGATGCATTCAGAGAAGAAATGGTGGTGGTTGTGGTGGAGGTATCATCAGATCTGTACATCATCTTGTTAGGATTAGAATGAAGAAAAGAGGAAAAATTTCATGCTTAGGAAATTAAGCTATCAGAACCAGGAAGCCAATATTGACTGCACAGAATTGGTGCTTTGGACACATGAGTGATATCAGAAGTAATGGACACCTTGGACACATGAATGGCATCAGAAATCAGGGACTAGAATGGGAACCACCTACTAAACTGTGAGCTCTCTGTGACCTCATCTCACTGGTCAAACGCCAGCCCTGCTGCCCACCCAGAAAAGGGTGTTATAAATAGAAACTCATCTCAGGGGCACACAGCTTTCCCTCCAAATCTCCTTTCAGGGAGAAAGGTTCATCCATCCCTTTGAGGATGTAACTCGCTAATTAACCATTAATATTTTACTCACATTTCTACCTCTTTTCTCTTTCTTCTCATCCCTGTGCTCTAATAAAAAACTTTGACTTGTACTTTAATGCTCCAGACAATAAAGTCCACTCTCCCCAAAAACACTAAAATTGCTATCAGAAAGCTGGACAATGACTAGGGATGATAGAAGAATTGATGCCTTTGCTCTGTGGTGCTGGAGAAGAGTACTGAATATACTGTGGACTGGTAGAAGAAAAACAGGTTCAGTCTAGAGAGGGTGAAACTATGCTGCTCCTTGGAGGCAAAGATTCTTTGGGCACATTGCAAGGAGGGACCAGTTCTTAGAGAGGGACATGATGCTTGGGAGGGTTGAGGGACAATGCAAGAGAGGAAGACCCTGGATGAGATGGATTGATTCAGTCACTGGGGTAATGGGGATGGATGTGTCAGAGATAATAATGTTGGCTCAGGATAGAGCAGGGTTCAGAGCTGTTGTACATAGGGTCGTTATGAGCTGCAAGCAACTTGACAGAACATAACAAAAACATACTACCTTGGTACTTGAATACCATTCTCATCCATCAGGTACAGTTCTGCCTGCGTGTGAAGGGCAAACTAGGACATTAATTGCACAATAACATTCTGGAGGCAGAGGCTCTTGGATGTATAAGGGATGAGCTGTGAGGTATGAGAAAAGAAGGTATGGAGAAATCTAAAGGTGACAGTATTTGTGGAATGCTTAGTACATAAGGCACACAGCAAATGCCAATTTTCAGCACTTTTACATCTGGAAAATTGAGACATGAAAGTAAGATTTACTTAAAACCACATAGAGCAATTAGAAACAGATAATAAAACCCAGGTTCAGTTAGGCAGTGACAGTGAGGCAGTTTTCTGTAAAAGGAGGACCTAAGTAGGCTGGTCTCCATATCCTTGTCCCATACCTGGAGTCCAGAATGGGTACTGCCCTAAGTCCCCAAGACAGGGAAATACAAGCCAACCTTACCCACATCGCAATAATCCTATCACTCAATCTCTTCCTTCTTCTCTTATACAATAAAATCTTAAACTCACTAACATTGAGTTGGAATGGACTCATAGATGACCTTCCGGTGAGTTTTTAAGGCTGCGAATTAAACAAGAGGTGATTGCTCATCTTTTTCTCACAAAGTAGCCACT